TACCAGGAGATCTGATTTTAATTGCTCTACTGCGCCCATCAATAACAACTCTGGAAGAAAAATCATTATGGCTTCAAAACCTTACCGCCCTGACATTTCAATGGCAAGTGGTTAGCTTTCATACCTGTTTTTTGAATTTGAAGTTAAATTCCCACATAGGTTCTCGTCTGTTCCCTTCAATCTTTCTGCACCAGAAAAGCAAACACTGATATGGGGGGGGAAAAATACAGTAGTAGAGTTAATTATTTCATTTTTAGTGAATTTCAACACAGGCAAAGAGAGCTCAAACTACAAACCACAGGAGCAGCTGAAGAGATGGCAGCAGTCTGGTCCCATTAGTTACATTAATGCATACCTGAGAGACAAGGTGGGTGAAGTAATATCTTTTACTGGACCACCCACCTTCTCTCTAATATCCAGGGACCGACACAGCTACAACTACACTGCAAACATTAATGCATACCTGGCATTTTCCATTTGCCAGTCAGAAGGTGGCAACCTCGCTATACCAGAGGGTGACACAGGACTTGGGCTCTAGCAGTGCTTCCTCTGTTCCGCTCACCCATTCCACATAGAAGAGGAAAGCAGAATGGACTTTGCTCCTCTACATACTACCTGGAATAGCCAAATTAAATTGATAAAATCTCAGGTCAATGTATGCATTCAGCTCACACTCAGAACAGAGCAGGAGTGAGGGAGAGCAAACAGCAGATCAGGGAAGGAGAAAACAAAGAGAGGCAAATGTTAAAAGCGACTGGACAGAGCTGAAAAAGGGCGGGGGGGGAGAGGGAGGAGGGAGAGGAGGCGCACCCAGAGGTCACACTCCCCTCCATTAGGCAACGTCCTACTATTTCAAAATCACAAAGCAAAGCTTTGGTTGTACAGTTCAACTAGTGGCTCAGAACATTGCTTCTTTTCTAAAGGCGGATGAATACATGGGGTCCGAGGCCTCAATGCCAGAGGCAACCAAAGCCTGGATCTGCAGGTATTCTATAGTGTAATCTCTGACTGCCACACCTTTATACAGCCTTACAGCTGTGAGATTCTATGTCCTGGCATGCAATGCTCCATGAAATAGGAGAGTCTTAGCAGAACTACTGTATTCAGGTGAGGGGGGAGGTTAAATAGAGCCCAATATCATATCGATAAGTTGACAGTGACTGGAAGTTGCAGTCATCTGACAGCCATTCAGTAGCCAATAAGGAGAGAGCCTGGCAAATCTCAGTCCAGTTGCCAGAGAGTGAGTGTCCACATCACAAGAGATACCTTCCATAACAACTGACCTGAAGTGGGCCTGCTAACAGGAAGGGAAAGAATGGCATCCGTCATAGAGAAAACTCCCCTCTCACCCAGAGATGGTCTCTCTGGGTCACAGTTAAGGCCTCTTCTGGGTCAATGTGGGGAAACTTATCTGCCAATGCTGTACCTGCTAGCTGCCGTCACTAACACTGTCAAACCTGAGAGGCCGCACCAGCACGAATTGCTTTCATGGATGGAAAAAAAAAGAGACCAAGGGCTGATGCAAACTGCACCTTTTTAATGCAATTTAATTCTAGTTGGGGTGAGGGACTCATGTAACCCCACTTAGCACCTAGCCTGGGTCATTCCTACTGTGTGGCTTTGCAGTGATACAAGGCATTTCACTTCACTTCTAAATCATAGTCACAGGCAGGAGTGCTGGAAGGATCTCTGCAGTGGTGAATCCCCTAGAGGTGAAGCACAAAGCTGAAGAGCAGTTAAGCTCAGGAGCATGGGCTAAACGATCTCCCCGCACCAGGCAGCAGCGGCAGCAAACAGTTCTAACCGATTACAATACTGACTGCTCCCTGGATTGTGCTTAGCGGGGGGCATGCAGCAGATACTGCTGGGCTTAATTCCATTTGCAGTTGAGTTTGCCGTTCACCTTCTGAGAACATCTACACTGCAGCTGGAGATGTAATTCCCAGGGTGGGCGGACCTACATGCACTCGCTGGAATTAAGTTAACATGCTGAAAATAATAGCGTGGCCATGGTGGCAGCTTAGGCTAGCTGTGCAAGTACCTTCCTACCACTTCTGACTGGGTTACACTCGGGCAGTTAGTCCCTCCTGCCACACGATGACATGACCACTCTATTTTAGCATGCCAGTTTGATCAGAGCCAGTGTGTGTACGTCTAGAGACCCAGAGCCAGCGCGTGCCCTTACAGACACAGCTTCATCTAACAGCTCATGTGATCATGGCAAGTAGTTAAGCACAAAACGGTAAGTACCTCCTAAGGGGCAGAGGATGTCATCCACGTGTCAGCCGTCCTGCCCTTCAGACGTGCACCGTATGGCCTGCTGCTCCACCAAAAATAATGGGGGTGTCTTTAAAGGGCAAACACTTCTGCTGACACCACAACGGCTCCAGTGTCCCACACAAGCTACGCTAGGGAAAGAAGAAAGGAAATTAAAGAGGAAAAGCTGGATTCAGTAATATAGGGGTCTGAGTCCCTCTTCGCTGCATGCACAGTTTACACGAGCATCTCCCATCAGTGTTAACAGACCCCTAGGGGTCTAACCAAAACCCATGAAAGCAAGGAATCGCAGAGGAAATGTAAGGTCCCATTCAATGTACACCACTGCGCCTAGGCATTGCAGCACATGGAACAAAGAGGACAGAGTCTGGAGTCCAGACGTACAAGGGCATTTGTATGCTTCGATGGATTGAAGTCAGACCTCTACTGTTATTCTAACAAAGGCTTATCGTCATTTAATTTCCTTTTTTAAGTGAATGGTAATAAAGTATTACACACAAGGAATCTTTACAAAACTATTAGTATGGTAGAAGCACCAGGAGTGGGCACCAAAGCCGTTATGATGTGAACGTGAATGAATCCCAGACACTGACCCTTCCACTGCGGGAGGAGGGGGGGTCTACTAATCAGACCAATAGATGGATGGGGTTACAGGCTGCTCTGATGGGTGGTTAGATTCAGAGGGACGGAGACTATAACAGGAGGTTAGTGGAACTGCAGGTTTTTTCCCTTCTTTTTAAGGAAGGCATTGCCTGAATGTGATATTCCCTATTAGGTCAGGGAGCAAACAGGTGCAGAGGACTTGTGCACAAAAGGCTGTAAATGCATCTTAATCCTGATCTGCAGCACAACCTACCTGTTGCTGCTCGCTGTTCTCAGTCTTATCTCAGGGTAACTTGCCACTTTAGCAGTGTCTTCACATGGGGAAGGACAGAAGCAGCAGAGATGTCGCACAGCAAAGAAATAGATTTGTTGTAGTTTGCATAGAGCAGTGATACTCAGATCTCAGGGGTTCAGGAGCCAAATCACCCATCAACATTACCCCAAAAAGCCACAGTCGTGGGAATTCATTGTTTTATTTACTCTCACAGTAAAATGACTGCGGGTATTCGACAAGTTGGTTAATAACACAGTAAAAGCATCCTGATTGGTTAATAATTAAATGATACAGTTTTTTAACATCATGTGCTGCAAGAGAGACATTAAAGAGCCACCTATGGCTCGGCTCCCAAGCCTCAGTCTGAGTATCAATGGTATAGTGTCCAACCAAAACCACTCCCCTTGAGACCGAAAACCAAACTGGCTTGCCACGTGTCAGCCAATAGTAAATTAAAGCCAGGCTAGAAACAGACAGAACTAGGGGTTAATGATAAACAGTGACTAAAGAGGGCTAGATACACAAATGCTCTAAGCAAGGACTGCAGTTTGGTTTTGCCCAATGACACAGCAGACAATTTCTCCCCAGCTTCACAGCCACACCCCAAAGCAGGCACTTGCTTCGCACGCTAGCTCCCCACCTCATGACACTCCCCCCTTCAGAGAAACCAAAGGTGATGGTCTGCAGGAGCGCGGTGTGAAAGGACTGTCCTTTTAGAGGCTGTCAGTGGCATTTGTGATCCTCTGCCACTGACCCAGAAGAAACATTCCAAAATAATATAGTTACAACAGTGCAAGTAGTAGACAAAAATGCCTCCCTAGCTCAAACTCCTTTTGGAACCTGGGTTGTGTACAGGAGGGAAGGGGACAATTGTGGATTGTGTCAGTGACCGAGCTTCCACCACTGTAAAATGACATTTTCCTAATTTGTATTACTGGAGTGCTTAGGAGCTACACACCAGGACCCCATTGTGCTAGGGGCTGTACAAACAGAGGTAACTGATAAAACTTCAGAAGTCAGACTCTTCCTATGTATATCACTGATCCAGTGCATTTATTTCACTAGGGTCCATCTGAATCAGATTTATTTCTCTGAAAGGGGAATAACAAAAAGCAGAGAGAGTGTACCAGCTGAACACAGGTTAGTTCACTTCCCCAAACACTACTACTTACGCTGGAATTCTTTAAAGTGCTAGGGGTAGTCTCTGGAACAGCCGGATTCCTGGAGACACGAGAAGCAAAAGGTTCATACATGTGGTATAATGAACGGATGACACACGCACGGAGGCAGTGCAGCCTTTCCATCGATTCTGGCCGTAAACGGAGAGGCAGGTATGCATCCAGAGTGTAGTGCCTAAAGGAAACAGGGACAAACCCAACACCCCTTGAAAAGCCATAACTGTACTGGATTTCAGGTAAATCTCAGGGAGCTACAAAATAAGTGTTAAAGAAGGTGACTGAACAAAGGGGTCAAACTCTGCTTTTATACCACATCACCCACTAACATCTCTTGGCAGTCACATTGCCCCTCCATATATAGCTGGTGTCTGGAGACCTGCAGCCATCTTCAGAGTCTGCAAGGGCGCCATACTATTTCTGCATTAGATGGCCTGCCAGTCTCAAGAGGTCTTCGCACCACGATGTGCCAAGGCTGTGAGTGAGACTTAGCAAGGTCTCTAGTATCTTTAGTGTGTGGCACAGAATACAAAGAGGTTGAGAAGCAAAACAGAAAACAGGCAAGAGTACAAATAGGAAAAGAATGCTGATTTTGTCTGATAAATGTTTAATAGGAATAAATGTCAGTCTTCCCAGTGAAAAAGGAGAGTCAAGGATGTGATCAGAGGAAGAAGCTTGAACTTTTGCATAGTGAGCTGACACCTATATGCTCTCCATCTATTCCCTCCTCCTCTTCTGCACTATCTCCCACTTCTATCATCTTCGTGGTTGCCCCTAAAACCCGGCAAAGTCGGATACAATGCCTTTATTTTCATTAAGTCCTGCCCCTTGTTAATTTATGGGCAGATCACCGCAAGGAATGCCTGAGACTAAGAGGCAAAACATCACCCAAAAATTAATCCTTCAAAATGAGGCAATGCCATTACTTTCCTGTAAGCATTTTGTGAGAGCTTTGCACACAAGACGTACTCTTATGGGCACGACATATTTTGAGTGTTTAGGCCTTGACAATTAGAGCTCACCACATTTTTAAACATTAGACATACAGGAAGATTACAAAATAGTGGTTATTTTCAGGCTGTGAAACAGACTGGATAGGAAGCAAATCTCTTAAGAAATACTATTTAAAGTTCTCCAAACCAACATTTAATAGAAACAGCCCAGACTAGGATACAGGATGCCAATCACCACCAGTTATAGAATGGCAAAGATTTCAGAGGCAAACATGCTGCAATCACATTAGAAAAGAACCATGTCCCAACATCTAGCATGACTGACCCAAAGAGGAGATAGATCCCTATTAACAGCTCTGTAGCAAATTCTGGTCCGACACTGATGGACACCCACAAATACTGAAGCGTATGTTTACAAACTCTTTGTGGTCGCACCTTCTGTAGAGTCTGGTCCAAAAGGCAGCAGTGCAAGTGACAGTCCAGGCTTTTTTGCAAATCAGAGAAAACTTCACTGTATCTTCTGGACGTATGTAGGAGGCCAGCAACAGCCAGATGTCAATGGGATAATCCTCTCCAACAGCCTCATCAGGGTTTTCTAAGCATAGCAAACACACATTAGTGTAACAGCTCCTGCCTTATAAACCTTAAGGCATGCAAATTGAGCTGATTGGCTCCTCTCTGTTGAGTACTATTCTGCAAGTGCTCCACGACCTGCCATGAACACACACACACACACTGTAAATGAGGTGGCTGTGGGACAGCACAGAGGCCACATTAGCCAAAGACGGGCTCAGTCCATACACTCGTTTACAGTAGCTCATCATGAAGAAACTTAAGGCTAGAGGCACCTGAACTCCAAAATAGTGTTATCCCAAAAAGACTACCGCTGCCTTTGGGTCAGTGCTTTGTTTATAAGAGGCATCAGAGCACCATTATGGACCGCTGGTATCTGTTACACCAAATCTCATACAACACTAACCTTCCCAAAAGACTTGGAAACAAGTGTTTGAGGATGGACCATTTTTACATACTAAGGCCAGGTCTAGACTTTACACTCTGTAGGGTATAACTACATTGTTCAGGGGTATGAAAAAGCCACACCCCTGTGTGACACCATTATGCTAATCTAACCCCTGGCGTAGACAGCGCTATGTTGACGGGAGAACTTCTCACAGACATGGAGCACCTATGGCAACAGGAGAAGCTCTCCCATCAGCTTGGCAGCATCTTCACTAAAGTGCTACAGCGGCGCAGCTGCATCGCTGCAGCTTTTTAAGTGTAGACCCACCCATAGGCCCCACTGGTGCTTTAGGGACCGTTGGGATTTCACTATCAGCATAAACAAAACGTAGAAAGAGAGAAAGAAACGTATTAGTCATTAAAAAGAACAGGGGTGCTTGTGGCACCTTAGAGACTAACAAATTTATTTGAGCATAAGCTTTTGTGGGCTACAGCCCACTTCATCGGATGCATAGAATGGAACATATAGTAAGGAGATACATAAACACATACAGAGAAAATTAAAAGGTGGGAGTTGCCTAGTTTAAAGTTTCCCTTTTTGACTGTCATTATCTCTTGTGTAACCCACCTTTAAAAGGTGCTTTGTTTTATCTACATTTCAATTACAGCTTTCAGGAAAGCCAACACTTCCAGGAAGGCTTCTCTAGTAATTAACAACCCATTTCCACTCACACGGAGCTCTCAAAACTGTTCCACTAGACTAAAGTTTCACATACTTGTTTAATTCCAAATGCACCTAGAAATACCTGTGCACAAAGCACATATATTTTTCCAACAATCTAATACTATCAATGCTGATGGATTTTGCTCAAGTTTTAAAAGTTAAGATACCTTTTGGGACACGGATATCTCAATAGATTCTACAGGCCTTACTCAGCATTGAGAACTGTGGGAGAGAACTTTCATTTGGATGTAATAAGGGTAGGTAAAAAGTGATGATTTTTTTTTTAAATCCCCAAATAGAATTTTTAAAATTAAATTAAATTAAATATAGGTGGGTTTTTTTATTATCCTATTTAAAATTAAATTTGAAATTGACAACCTGTGTTAAGGCCTAAACTTTTTAAAATATGTTAAAATTATTTAAATTTTACACAAAAAATATTAAGCAGTACATATTTGCTACCAAGTTTTAAAGAATGTCAAGTCACTGGCTGAGCACCTGGAACCAAAGTTTGTTAACATAAGAAAAGAAGAATATAAGAATGGCCATGTTGGGTCAGACCAAAAGTCCATCTAGCCCAGTATCTGGTCTTCCGACAGTGGCCAATGCCAGGTGCCTCAGAGGGAATGAACAGAACAGGTAATCATCAAGTGATCCATCCCCCATTGCTCATTCCCAGCTTCTGGCAAACAAAGGCTAAACCAGCTTTTGACATTGCAGTAGCCTTTTTGCAGGTCCAGAAAGAGTATTTTCTTAATTTCAGTTTATTCAACTAGTTCAGTTCAATTATTCATTCAAAGTTGTGACACTGGTTCGGAAGTTGAAAAAGCTGGAAAGCTTGTTTTCGTCTTCCCCTCTACAAATAAAAACTAGGTGTGAGAGGATATGATTTACTAGCTCTAAAATCTTGAAGGACATGGCGATCAGAAAATCTGTTCAATTCATTAACTACACAATACTTCCTTTGTTTAATAAATTAGTTTTAAATGTAAAATGTTTTGGTAACCTTTTTAATCATCATTCAGTAAATTAGAAAGGAATCAGTCACCATTTTCTACCATGATAAATGTAAAAATTAAGAATCAGAATAAACGTAAGTTACGCTATATATTTGTTAAAATAAATGTGTATAGATATAGTGCATCTTCCCGGTTAGCAAAAAGAAGCACCAAATTTAGTGTAAAGGCTATATTTAGTTGCAAATGAACTTGTTTTAATGTCTATCAACTAGTAAGCATGAACCTTTCTTTAGGAAAAGAACTAAAAAGTACAAATGCAAAACATGATTAAAAGCAATGATTTAAAACAAACAAACAAACATCCATCCATCAAAGCTTCTCCCACCTGCTGATTTAAATCACGATGTAGATCAATCCACCCTGGATGTAATGCACGCCCTGTTAGGTTGGGGGCTGTATGGGGCCCAAAGATTTCAAACCTAATCTGTAGCTACTCCTCAAGGAGGGATAGAAGTTGGGGAGGAATGATAGTCTTGAGATTAAAACTCATGTCTGAAAGTCCAGGCGATCTTGGCTCTTCTATTGACTTATGTCACTTTGGGCTTCGGCATGTTTTTTCTTCTTTATGACGGTAAAGGAGCATTGTAAAAAACTGCTTTGTTTACCTTGGAAATTCAGGTCCTCTGTAGGCTAAAATACTGAGCGCCCCACAATCTTTAAGATATTTATCCTCACTCACCCCTGGTGACGCAGGGAGGTGCGCCTATTCCCATTGCTAAGGCTGTGGAAAGCTGTTTGCATTTTTTGGTTCAAAAGTTGCTGCCACACTTCGTTAAAGTTGCAGTTACCTATCTGGAATATTGCCAGCACGTTTTTCCAAGGCATGCAGCCTACCTTCCAAAGCAGGGCAGCAACATATAAGATACACTGGTTGTCCCACTTGGCTCCCAAAGGCAAGCATGATGGAGGAGTGGCTGGACCAAATTTGAATGATGATGTGACCTGGCGCATGGGTTAGCGATGCCACTCAAATTTGCAGCTACTCTAAAAAACTGTGTTAAAAGTTGTGGTTTCTGCAACAAGATCACAGCCCAGGATATATGTATATATTTTTTTACAGCCTTACCCATTGTACAGACAGAGAGAGAAACTAAAAAGTGACTTGCCCAAGGTCACACAGAAAGTCTGAGGCAGAGCAAAAAACTAAACGCACGTCTCCCAAGTCCTGGAGTATCGCCCTGACCATTGTGCCAGGCTTCTTCTCTTGGAAACTCTCTTGGCCTCAATTTTGTCATCTCTAAAATGGGGAACTGTTTCTTATCTTACAGGACTGCTGTGAAGCTAAATTCATTATTATTTGTAAAATGCTTTGAGATTCTCAGATGGAAAGGACCACATAAGTCAATTTCTTTAAAATTAACTAAAAGTTACTTTATAAAAACTTACAGTTTTCCTCTCAACTACATGCAATTAAATTCTGTTTGAATTTCAGATAGGATATTAACCATTGCACTGTGAAGCTTCATAATCCTGTATCCACAGCATTGCAGCCAGGGTGGATAAAAATCAATGATTTAAAATAAATAAAAATTGGATTTTCTTTATTTAAATCAGATTTTTTTGATAAAATGCTTTTTGAGGAAAAAACCTATCTAAAGATAGTTTTAATTAAGATACATTATAGCTCAAAGATATCTCATCATGGAATAGGGATTATAAATTCTAATTCTATAGTATGAGACAATATATTCATGTAATGTTTAAGAAAAGTTTTGTAAATGAGTTCCAATAGTTCATGGATTAGGGACCCAGTTTTATGGGGTTCCAGGGGCTTCTGTATAGATTATTTAGGTTAACCTTTCTATCTACCCAATGGGGCTCAGTGCTCAGTCTAGAAGATACCATCAGAGATGCTTAGTTTTGCAGTTCTCAAACTGGGGATTTGTGTCTCCAGAGATAACATGCTTGTTAACAGAAAAAGTGTTTTTAAATAAATAATATAATATATAGAGGTTAGAAATAACAGACCTCAACCCTATTGTCCCTCTGCAAATTTGTGTGCACAGAGTCAATCCCTTACCTCTCTCTCAAAGTGCAAAGTTTCAAAAAGTTCAATAAGTAGAAGATTGTTGGGGGAAGAATAGATCTGGACAAGGAGAAGAAGTCTGGCGATATATGTGAGAAGGGAGGGACAGGCAGTAGAAACAAAAGTGAAACTGTTTGAGCAGCATATTCCTGAAGTCTTGAGGTCTCTCTGAGTGTAGCCTTTATTGATTTGAGAGCTACCATGCCATTCTCTCACTAGAAAGGAAAACCTATAATGGCAGCAGGCCGTAAGAGAAACCCAGTTTAGGTCTCATCTATCTCTGAGTTGTGAAGAATATGTATTAAGGTTATAACAACCAATAAGAATGTACTTTTATGTAGAAATCCATGATTAAATTGAGTCTTCCTGTCTAGTGATTTAAATCAAACCCACCCTGATAGCAGCTATATAGCTTATCTGCACTGTGGTGCAACTTACATCCTACTGAGCTGCACAAAATAGAATTGCTGAAACACAGCTTTATTCAGAAGTGACTAAAAAACACAACTCTGGGTCCTTTGCTCCAAATTTGCTCAGTTGACCCCACAAAAAGACACCCTAACATCTCATAGAATCATAGAATATCAGGGTTGGAAGGGACCTCAAGAGGTCATCTAGTCCAACCCCCTGCTCAAAGCAGGACCAATTCCCAACTAAATCATCCCAGCCAGGGCTTTGTCAAGCCGAGCCGTAAAAATCTCCAAGGAAGGAGACTCCACCACCTCCCTAGGTAATGCATTCCAGTACTTCACCACCCTCCTAGGGAAATAGTGAGGCTAGCAGTTCATCTTTAATGAACTGCTAGCCTCACAAACTCAGGCTCGAATCTGAGACTGAGTTGTGTTCTTTCAGGCTTATGCATTGGCCTGCTAAACCCAGGGCTGGGAGTTCAATCCTTGAGGGGGCCATTTAGGGATCTGGGGCAAAAATCTAACTGGGGATTGGCCCTGCCTTGAGCAGGGGGGTGGATTAGATGACCTCCCTTCCAACCCTGATATTCCATAATTGTTGCCAGCAATAAGGATTATGCAGAGCAAATGCTGCTCTCAGTTACAGACATGCAATTCTGTGTCTTCCATGGGATTTCACAGATGTAATTGAAATCATAATTTGAAGACAATGAGGCTGGACCTGATAATCAAACTTAGTTGATAGCTGTGCTGAAGATGAATGAGCCTGAGCAGTGTTAATTCTGTAAGGCTAACAGCAACTAAAAAAAAAGTTAAAATGTAACTGTAGCGGCAAATCAACACGACTAATTCCAATACACACTGGGGCTAGCCTGCTAGAAGGTTGTGTCAGTTTACAGTCACTTTTCTGGGTATAACTGCGCTTGCAAGGATGGTGTCCCTAGCCTCTGTTTGCCAGAAGTTGGGAATGAGCGACAGGAAATGGATTCCTTGATAACTACCTGTTTTGTTCATTCCCTCTGGGGCACCTGGCATTGGCCACAGTCGGAAGACAGGATACTGGGCTACATGGACCTTTGATCTGACCCAGTACGGCCATTCTTATGTTCTTAATATGAACATTAATCTCCCCACAATGCCCATTTATAGATTTTCAATTATTGCTTAAACTGCTAAATAAGTAACAACAGCAAAAGTTGCAGAGTTAATGATGCTAATGGAATCCCTATCTTTTGCATTTCTTGAACGCTTTCATGTTTGCAGGATGACAGGTGATATCCAGAAAGGGAAGAAATTGGGCTTGTGCTTCATAATATAAAAGCACCCAACTCTTCCACCAAGGAAAAAGTGGTTTTGGCTTGCTTTTTACATTAGCAGTACAGTCTGGGCTTCTTGTTTTGCTGGAATACTTCTCAGAGCTAGGAGAACATCCCAAGAGGCATGAGAATGGAATCTGTGCAAGTGACAAGGGCAGCAATTTTTAGCCCAACTGTTTAAGTCTGTTTTTGTTAACAGACTATTTAACTCACATTCTTAATAAACAACTGGAAGATAAGCTCTGCGTGAAAGATACAACACCCTATACTAGCTTTCAGAGCTCTCACTCCTGTTCTCTAGTCATTAAAGGAATCCTCCCACAAGAACAGGTAATACCTGATACTTTATACAAACAATTCAGCAATCGCCACCCTTTATTTTTCTTTGGGGGGGGAGGGGGGGGGAGTGCTCTCCTGAGACATCAAAATAATAAATAAGGCACAAAGTTTCTCTCTTTGCAGGTCTCCTTTCATGTGGCATAACCGTAGGATTTTATATAGTGTTTCAGGAAAGTTTTTATCTGCAGCACATACGTGGTCGAAATCAACCAATTAGGCATGATTCAATCAATTGCAACAATCCACCTTCAGTAAGAAAAGGGAGCTGAACCATGTCTCCTACCTAGCATTCCTTTGGTTAAGCGTTTGTGCACACAAGTGCATGCACAAACACACTTCACTGAACTCTCTGAAGAGACACATTGCTGATCGGTAAACAGCAGTCACTAGCTTGGCAAACGCAGAAGACGATCCCAGCAAGGACTCTGCAGAGCTGACTGGGTGAGTGAAGGAGTCATACCTTTGTGCCTCTTGCTTTTCTTTTTTCTAGAGGCAGTTCTCTCGTTGGTGCTTTCCTTAGCATCCATTTCATCGCTACTGTCACAGGATTCCCCAGTCACTGAGAGCACTTCCTCAGCAGGAACACGTGAGGCTTCCAAACCACAGAGGGATTTTACTAGAACCAGAAGAAATAGATTACACACACATACTAAGTACACTATGAGAAGTAACATGAGCTGGTTAGGGTCTACGAGGGCTGGCTGCAGTTGTTTGAGAGGCATCTACATGAGCAATCTTTGCTAATATACAAGAAAGGATATTTCTTCTGACGTCGTAAGAGTGGATGCTTGGTAACAATCCCAATGGCATAACTAGAGTGATGGGGAGTTATGAATGAATCCACCTGCTCCTCTGACAGATCTAAGGCTAGGTCTACACTACCCGCCTAAATCGGCGGGTAGAAATCGACCTCTCGGGGATCGATTTATCGCGTCCCGTTGGGACGCGACAATCGATCCCCGAATCGAC